TAGCAAAACTGTGTGTAAAGTCCCATTAAAGATGCACTCAGACTCTGTAAACACAAAGGATTGGACTTGGATTACTTAAGAATATTTGATACATCTGGGTTAAAATGTGGGTAGCCTGTAGTTTAAAGTGCAAAGTATAATGTCTCACAATAGCTCACAGTTCAAGGAACAGTAGAGTTTTTAGAGATCTGATACCATACTGGTTAATCCCTCATGTTGAGGTCAATATGCAGCCACTGTATCACAGGGATGTTTCTACAGGAGAGTAACAGAGTCAATATGTACAGTATGCTCCTTTATACAAGTACATGCACATAAACAACACTTAAAGGTTAAATATATACAATCCTACAGTAGTCGAAGCTGTGTGTCTGACAGCCTGATGCACTTTTATTACCATAACAACTACCACAGAGTCTGCTAATACTACTATATTACTGGACCTGCCTCGCTTTTTACTGCTCCTGTCACACACACACTCGTGCCACTAATACTACCACAACAGTGTTTCCACAACTGTAAATAAATACTGACGCTACAACTAACAACAGTGAAAAAGAAATCAATAGAAATGTCAGTTTTTACAATAAAAAACAGACATTAGTTTCATCCTTTTACTTTAGCTTCAGCACATCTCAAGCCCTCATATGCAAATAAGCACACAATATGCAAAACCCAATGTTGAGGACATGATAGCATTATTACAGTATATGTTGATAAAAGGCGGTCAGAAATCCTTTGACAGATCAAGGGTGTGAGCAAGACTCTCAGTGGGCGTTCACACTTGAAAACACAGCGAGAACAGGGACACACAAGAGTGGACATCAATACGGAGCTATCGTATTACCGGTTAAACTCCACCTCCAGCAAATCTTTTTTCTTTCCCCCTGCTGTCTTTCTGTGAGCGGTGTCACAGCAGCCATGGGATCCAGCACGCATCATAAAGCAACTTTAATCCTCCTCCCATCCAAAGAGGCCTCAGCATATCACCGGCAGCCCTGCTCGTATCAGCTTAGCTCAGCTTTTAGTCTGTTTCATCATCTGTTCTCCCCGCTGTGTTTCCTCCCTATGTCGGTTATCTAGTTTGTTTTCACTTTAAGCTGTTAATTGAG